TGTTAACTGCTTATTTATGTCTGGCTGATTGTGGTTGTTTTCTTCTTAGGAACATACTGTCTCGCATGTATATCTGGGGTCTTCAGATTTTCAAAGAGATGAAGTAATTGTTCATCATGACTTCATACTTTGAAAAAATCATAGTTAAAAAGCTTTGTGAGGAACAATAAACTAGTTTCAAATTAAATTCAATTAGGAACATTTTTTGATATATTTGTTATTTTGAATTCTGTGAACTAATTTTATGTAGATATTTTCATTTAACAAAACTAAATAGTATGTAAGTTACTAAGGTGTTGCTTCACTGCCATGAATTACCATTGAAAATGCCATAGCTGAGGTGGTTACTTGATGGATTCTCACTTTGAAGGCCCAGGTTCATGGCCAGGGCAGTCCATATAGGATTTATGGTGGGCAAAGTGGCACTGGGACAGATTGTTCTCCAAGTCCTTCAGTTTTCCTTGTCAGTATCATTCCATTGCTGCTGTACATTCACTCATGTATCATCTTTGTGATGGATAGTGGGACATAGTGTCACCCCATTATAACAGTAAAAAAATACCATTGAAAAGAAAGTGTTGTGCAAAGTGCCAGAGCAGGCATGTTAAAGAGTCAAAGCCTCATAAATGATTGGAATCTGCTTTAAAATTGAATGCTTATTGTTATTAATTGCTACAGTGTTTGTATATGTTTATTCATTTGTGAAAGGCTAAAGAATTAATGTATTTTAAATGTCTATACTATTGTGCTATGTGGTCAGAAGACTACTTAGCAATTAAAAGTTGTCCCTAATTGGGGATGCAGTTTTAAGACAACTGTATGTTAAAGTAGGCAAAACCTTATCCCAAATTTGGGTAATTATGAGAACTGTCTTTTTGCTGTGTATTAAAATATACTAGTAGTTAATAAAACATGCATGTTAATAAAGAGATTTAATTTAAGAAATGGTGATGGGTTTGTAATTAATTTTGTAATTTTAATTGTAATTTTATAACAGTTGGTTATAGTGTTCCAGTGGAGGAATTTTAGCTTTATGATACTGCATAATGTGATTTTCCTTTAGAATGTGCTGGAATTACACTGATAAATTAGGCTTGTATAATTTCTAATAACTTTTCTGCCTGTGATGTTAATTTTTTGTGATTTCATTGATGGCAGTAAAGTACACAAAGGAACATTTTATAATTCTTCAGTTTTAGGATTGAATTGAAATGTATAGAAGAACTGAATTTCTTAAGTCATGTAGTGTATTGTTGTGGCAAATGAATTATCCAGCAGGTACTCTTACGTTGAACTTAACTGAACATTAATGTGAAACACTCCAAATCATATGTGATTTTTAATAGTACAGGTAGTTTGTCTTTCCACTAAAGGAATGGCTCTAAATTGTCTTCTCGCATACTTGTTCATTAACCTGTAATGTCTGGCCTTTATTTACATGACACATATGGGAAAACATTACACACTTCAGTTGAGGTCAGAATAACCAACATGAAATTAGGGTTCTTCAGTTGTAATTTTTATTAGCTGATCAAGAAGACTCATTGTAAAATTAGACCAAGAAGTTTATAGCAGAATTTGTGGCTGGAACTTGTTTTAAACATGTATGGGAGTGTATTAAAACTTCTGTTCATGTAAACATTGCTGTGTCTGGTTAGAAATCTGATGGAGACTAGGTTAAAGTTGATTACTGTTTGTTTGCCAACATATTGTAATTCTTTGTTATAGATAAAAAGAGTTATTTCAAATAAAATTTTAATGAATTTGTGAAGGGTTTTGTTTTTTGTTAGAAATTCCCTTATTACTTATAGTGTTGTTTGCTAGCATTTCTCTTCTGACTGATAGTGTGGTATTGGGAGAATTTTGTTTTCCAGAAATTAACATCTAATTGTTAGTGTTATTGTTTTGAAAAAGGCATTTTAGATATGTCTTTAGTGAAAATGTGGAGGGTTTTATTGTTTACTAGATATACCCTTACTGCACAGGGCCAGAGGATGTCCCTCAAGTAAGATCATCAACCCATGTGCCAGTGGGACCCTGGGTCCAGCCTCCAACTGTGCGTCCAAAGATAGCAGTCCTGAAGCATCAAGGCGAGGTAGTTCCTCTGTCCAAGTCTATTGTGGGACGAATGTCAGCTCACTGCTTAATTGATACAGCCCTTGTGATGGGGAGGAGCTTTCGTGTAGGCTGGGGTCAAAACAGTACACTGCTTACACTCAACACACGGAAAGCGGCTGCTGTTGTGCCACTCCGAGCTGAACTGTCTGACCTAAACATCTACACTTCTGGGCGGACCAAAGGCGATTGTTCTCAGTGTATTGTACAGAGGCTTCATATTTTTGGAGGAGGCAAAGACCCATCGACCAACTTCATGGTTAGTACTGTATAGAAACCCTAATATGTTAACAGTTTTTAAGATTAATTTCTGTATACATTATTTATAAGAGGGTGTTTGGACTAATACTTAAGTTGAATGCTACATTGCATGTAATATATTTATCTCAATAGCGTCAGTTACAGCACTAAGAACAAAGTCATGCAGCAGATCTCAGACATGAAAAAATAGAGTTTTGAATTATTTTGTTTGTGGAAGCACAGTAAATGTCATATTCATACAATTGATGTGAATTATCTGTCTGAGACAATAGCAGAAGCCCATGAAACAGTAGTATAATTTTTTTCTGTACTCTGTTTTGGCATCTTACACCTTCCCTCCCCCCTTTTATAGGAATGTGGGGCACGTTTCCTCTTATTGTTTAGTAGAGGGAGAGGGGATTGTTTATTTTAGGATTACATGTGAGTATTATAAATGGCTACAGTGTATGTTTAGGAACCATAACACATTTAAGGTACCTTTGAAAAAAATTTATTGTGCTGCTGTCATGTTTGAAAGTGTACACTTCAGACTTGTGTTATGTTCAATTCGACTGATGGCCTGTAATGTAATGGAACAGTGGCCTAAGTGTGGGATAGGAAAAGTTTCTGTTACAGGCATTTTTTTCTAGTATAATATTCGAGTGTAGAAGAATGGTATGGAATGCCATCCCATTTTTTAGACGGACCATAACTGTTGTAACTGCTCAAAAAACACTCTCATACTGGTACTGCTATAGATTCTTGAAGCAAGTTAATTGTCACAAAACACCAAAGGAAAGTAGAGTATATTATGGCTTCATTCATGTTTTGTTGATTGAAATTCAATTTAAATGTACATACATAGACTTAATACGTGCAATTATTACCAGTGGTAGATACGAATAATTTTTGTTTGTGCACAGAAATTGTCTAAGAAAAATATATGGTGGCTGCTCTGTTCACGTAGATCACATAAAACCTTCAACATCATAATTCCCAGGAAGTGGTGTCTGCTTTCCTTCACATCCAAACAGACACTAAAATTATGCAAGTTATTGATATATTTCTGAAACTTTTGTTAAGGTAATATTTTTAAACAATATGACATAAAAGTTTTCTTTGGCTTAAAATTTTAGAGTGGTAACTAATGAATCATTGGATCTCAAGGTTATCTTTCCATATAAAATATAGTAGTAACTTTTGTAAAATACATGCAGTTGCAAACAATAATAACAAATGTAACCCAAGATTCAGCCATATACTGCGCAAGTCCAGCTTAGTGACCTGTGTTGTTGTTGGTTTATAAACTTCAATTACCTAAATAAAACATTAACAACCCAAGATTTGTAAGATTATGAATGTATTCAGTAGGAAAGTAGACTATTATGAGATTGCTGGTTCTCCTTTATAGTATAATGGTAATTCTTAGTGTAGCCTTACATGTAAATAATATATCATAGATGCATTTTATATTGTCAGATTACTTTATTTTGATGTGATTCAAGGTTATTTATCTTCTGTTTATGTAATACAGGAGACACTGGAAGGTCATCTGCGCATCCAGCTACAGTATTGTGAGTTGAAACTGGAAGATGATTGTCCGCTGCTAGTCCCTTATACTGGAGTAGATGCCTTGCATGCTCATTGTGCATTGGCTGATCGGCTCAGTTTTAACCAAACAGATGCCCTACTTGCTTACAGCAGTCAGGTGTGGAATCTCTGTGTGGCACTGTGGGGTAATCTTCCAGATTTGGGTATGTGAAACTGCTATATGTATTGTGGTTTTGGATAAGTGTGTAAGATTCATTTATGTATTTACTAATTAAATATGTCAGGTAGCTCTAATGTGCTGAAAAACTGTTCATCTGTTATTGTGATTTCAGTTGTATGCATTTAAGATTTATACTCTTTGAGTTCTTTGGTTTTGAAGATTTCTGTCTTTTGGGTTGTTGCGCTGTGTAGTCTGGTCGATGTTCTTTGGTTTTAATTGATGGGATTTACAATTCATGTTTCAGCTTTATGTATTTTCACTATGTGACTTGTGTTTCCTCAGTTATTCTCTCAATTACATTCAGGGGCTTGACTCTTGGGAGTAGATTTATTTAGAAAATGTCTACAAATGTCATCTTTATATAATAATAATAATAATCCTAAATTTAAAATTCCCTAAAGTTCCCCATTATTTACTATTTTGGGTTATCCTACACTTGTACTCAAACAAAATAAATATTCAGCATTTCACAGCATCACAGTAAAGTTATTCATTCATTGATTTGTACTTATGAGTGACTGAGTGCAGTGAAATTGTATACTGATACAGATGCAGACAGTAGCAGCCATCAGACTGTTATGTTACGGAGAGAGGCAGTGAGCGAATGGCTGGAAGATGTTGTACAGCAAAGAGTAAGGCAGGAAACAGCCACACTGCTGGATGAATCTTCCAAAGCACAAGACAAGGAGCATCATATTCCAGCAATCCTCTCTCTTTTGTCTGGCAGAAAAGTACTGGAGGCTTGCGAGAAGACTCAGGATTGTGGTAAATAATGTTACGAAATTTTAAATGATTGCTGAATAATTGATTAGGTTCAGAACAACAGTGAAGCAGTTATGTACCAAATTTGATTTGTTCCAACCATCATACGGTCCAGTAGTATAAGTTTAAGATGATAAATCTTTCACAGGTGATCACTATACTTCGTTTCTGCTGGCACAGCTGAGCGGTGGTCCCGCAGCAAAGCAGCTGGTTCAACAGCAGTTGGCTAACTGGCAAGAGGTGCAGGCAGACTGTTACATCAACAGGGACAGGATCAAGTTGCTGCTGCTAGTGGCTGGCATTCCTCTCTTCAGTGGTACACAAGGCACTGTTAATGTCTGTGAAGGTTTGGACTGGAAGAGAGCCTTTGCACTGCACTTGTGGTAATTAAGAAACATTTTCCATATTTAACGCACGTGTCACAATTGTCAGAGTAAGTACATAGATATGTAGAGTGGGGGGAATGGTAATCAGATCAGATTACAAAATAATTGTTATATGGTTTAAAAGTGCTTCTAAAATTTACAGGATTTACAGTGAAACCTCAATGCATCGTTTTCGGCGGGGGTGGGAAATAAAAACGATGAATGCGGGAAAACGATAGATGCGGGAAAGCATTAAAAATTTAAAAAAAACAATGTTTCTCTTTCAAAGTTACTTCTTTTTACCAAAAAAGTCTTTAATGGACAACTGGTTTGTCGAAACTTTACGTTTTAGACCAAACAGAGCACTTTCCACGTTCAAAATGTTTTCCTCGTCACATTCACTAATATTATGCGCATAAAAGAACGACTTCACTTTCGCCAATGCAGCGTGCGCTTCGGCAAA